GGCTCTCTACTCCACCAAAGAGTTACAGTCTTAGAATCCCACGGGGCAGTTCTACGCTGTCCTATTGTGTCTCAGTGACTTGGTACCAATCAGACAGCAGTAAGTTGGGTTTTGGTTTTATAAGACAGGTTAGAACGGTCACTGAGTTTTGGACGCTGTCACTCCTTGCAGAGTGGAAATTCCCATCTTTCTCCCACGGAATAGCTGAAGGGCTTTGAACTGCTAACCTTGCTGTTAACAGCCCACCAGGGCTCACAAGGTAATCTGTAGTTGTCATGGAATGGTGTTTTTTAATTCTTAGGATTGTAGTTTGTGGGGAAGTGCTTTTTGTATGTAGCCTTGTGACCTTATGACTATTGTCTTTAAGGAATTGGGCTTCTGGTTTCTTTCTACCAAAATATGAGGCATTTTTAATAGTAAAATCTCTTATATTTATATGCGAGCATACTTGAAAGTGGCTAGGGAAATTATAGCACCTTTCATTTGTTTATTTTATTTCCCAAAGTCAAATATTGCTTCTAGTTCTCTCTCTCTCTCTCTCTTTCTCTCAGTTAACTTCTTAATTGCTGCAGAGACTTTTAGATCATTAAGTTCAGTGCACACCCAGAGAGAGCAAAATAAAATGCACTAACATTCAAGAAAAGCATAATGAACTCAGTAAAATATGAACAACTGTCTTGTATAGATTTTTTTTGTATTTTCCTTTGTTCCATAAATCCATGTCGAATGCAGGGACCGACTTCATGTTGGTTGTATTAACGAATGCGTTTCCACTTGTGTAGAACCTACGCGGATAGAACTCACTCCCAGAAGAACAGAGTTGACAGTGGGGGAGAGCGTTGTTCTTAACTGCAAAGCAATCCATGATGCTAGTCTGGCTGTCTCCTTCTCCTGGACCCTCAAAGGACAGCCTATCGAGTTTGAGAAAGAAGGCGGACATTTTGAAAGCATCAGGGTCGTAAGTGAATACACTTTTATTTTTGTGTGCTAAATAAGTTAAACTTTTTTGATTGAAGTATAGAAACGTTCTAATCTTAATGAAATGCTAAGGGTGAACAGGAAAAATCATTTTGATTTAAAAAGATTATCTTCTCATATTTTGTGCTGTATCAAATGGTAAATATTCATATTAAAACTCCCGTAAGAACCTGGGAGTGGTTCATTATGTAAACCCAATATCTTTCCCACTTCCATTTACTTTATTAATATGGTCAACCTTTACATACCCACAACATCTCAGAAGATGTGTTGCTATAGAAGGGGCAACTATATATATTTTGATGTGTTCTTAAAAGTCATTACTGTAAAATAAATGAATGACAATAAGCCTCTAATTAATATTCCTCAAGATATAGCAATTTGTAAAAATTGCTTAATTTCTAACAAACTATAGTGCTAAAACCTGAAATCAGTAGTCATAAGTACATAGTAGCCTTAGATAAGCATTCACAGACACATTCATTTCTTAACCTTTAAATCTCTGTCTTTCATCACATCTAATTTTATCACGTTATCTCAAAGGAGTGGAAAATATTTTGAACCTAATTCTACAGAACCATCACATAGCTACCCACTGTCCTAAATCTACAGAGTGTGGAGTGAACCTCCTATCAATGACTCGCTTAAAAAAATGGCAGACATGAAGACAAAGGCAGAAAAAGACAGGCAGAACTAGAAAGGTAGAGAGAGATTTAAAATGAAACCTCCCTGCTATATGGCTCATAGGATAAAATCAAGTAAAATTATTACTGACAAATCTAGTTTGAAATGTTGCCGTATATACTTATTAATTTCAAGTTATTTCTTCAGAACTTTGCAAAAGCATCGGAAAAATCACACCTGTAGTGAGCCCAAACATATAAAACTCATTTGAGCATGTATTTCATTTTTAAAGTAATGTGATGCAGTGAAAAAAGTCCTGGGCCCAAAGTCAGAAATTTTCCAAATCAGATTCCAGGCCGCAGCCGATTCATCTACATAACATAAAGTCCGTCATTTAATTTGGCATTACGCTCATGGAGAAGAGGTGAAAGAGTGGGTCTAGAAGAATCTCTAAGATTTCTTCTAGCGTGATGATCTGTTAAATTTATATCTGTCTGTGGTATTTGCCATTCTCGCCAAAATTAAACACGGGCTTCCAAAGTATTCCTCTCCTCCAGGTTTCCTTTGTAGTGTATTAGAAAGACTGTGTAAATAAATAATTGAAAGCACCAGTTACATTGCTCATCATCTCATTCAAGTTTAGATCTTGTTTAATTATCAATGGTCACTTTTCAGGCAGAATATTTAGATCACGTTAAATAACACATCGTCCTCTACTTTGTGGTTTTCCGCCTTCTTACCTTAGGTGGCTGATTACCTCAGGACCAAGAAATACAGCACCTTCTAATCCATACAGACTATTACCTCTTTTCAGATGATCTTGTCAATAAACACCAAAAATTGAATGAACAATCATATAAAAATAAATGAGTGTAAAAGGAATAATGGCCTCTCCTCTTAAGTAGAACCTTCTTTATTTTAGTTAGAGTAAACAGTGTGGTGGCCATATCCGACCTCCTCTGGCTTCCCTTTTGCCACGAAACAGAGGTCAGATGTGCCTCCCTGCTCTGTCTTCTTTACCAATTTTGATGCCCATAGGTTCTTCCTAGGGTTTTCTACTTCTATGCTGGGTCCAATCACCCATTGCAATGGCCACACAAATTGCATAGACAATACTCATAATTATGGGAGTTTATTAGGGCAATTAATAGATTCCCAAAAGTCAGGATCTGTAAACAGTCAGGATGCAGTCAGGGGTCCACAGCAACACCTCTCCTCAGTGAAAGGCTGAGACTCTCTTTGGTCCTCTGCCTCTCAGGCAGGTGGTCTCCTGGATTCTGTATCTGTGGGCTAGGAAGCCAATCAACCTGTCATTCTGTCTCACTCTCCCCCAGTCTTGGGCCAGATAAGAAGAAGGGGCCCACGGTCTGGGCTGTTGGGGAGATCACAGAAAGACTCTGGGAGTAAGAGAGCCAAGTGTGGGTGATCTTAAGGCTTGTTTTCTTTCAGAGCAGTTTTGGCATCACCGGAGGAGTCTGTTCCAGGTCAGCATAGAAAAGCAGTCTAGTGGATTCAGTAACTTAAGTAGAACACATGCCTTTGATTGGCATTAACTCTCTAGGTTAACTACCCTGGGATCTAAACTTGCCAGTGGTGATTAAAGGGGGTAGGTACTAAAAGAAGAAGAGGCTACTTTGACACTACCAAAACCAAACACTGCTATAAAGTCAATTCTGCCTCATGGAGACTTTATAGAGCAGAGTAGAACTGCCCTTACGGGTTTCTAAGACTACTTCTTTATGGGAATAGGAAGCCTCATCTTTCTCCCTCAGAGCACCTGGTAGTTTTGAACTGATGACCTGGAGGTTAGCAGCCCCAAAAGTAACCTTTGTACCACCAGGGCTCCTACATAGGATTCAATCAGTCAGTTATCTGGGAAGAAAATATACCAATGATACGGAGAGTGAGCATCTGGTAAGATGCCCACATGAGACTTAACGAAGTTCTTTCCTTCTCCACTAGTTGCACTGACGACCTCTATGTGCAAACATTGGTTGGTGAAGCTCTCCACTAAATCTTATGTAGACTTTGTAACATCTCTACGTAATGGTTATTATTATGCTTTAACTAAACTATTGCCTGGGGTGACACTCAAGAGAATAAACAAGTAATTTAATCATATATTTTTAAAAGTTATTGCTATTGAATTTAAATTACAACACATGTAATGAAAAAGAGGCTTCTATTTTGTCTGTTATTTTCCATGGTCATGTTTTACAAAACCCAACAATGGATTTGGAATGAATCCATTATTGAAGCCAGCAGTGGAAGGATCCACTTGCTCCATTTCACTCAAATGACATTTTTTGTGGCAATTGACATGAATTAACCAAAAGTGATAAATTAGCAAGGCTAGTCTTAAGATTTTAATTTATAACTCAGTGCTGTGAGGGATTCAGAGTAAAACAGCTGGCCTTACCAGCACAATGTAAGGGAAGACCGGGATGGTTTATATAACAGAGCCATCTCTGGAGGGCTGCGTGCACATGGCTGGAGAAATTAGTTGGTATTTGAAACTTCTTGTGAGTGGTAGATTTTGTCCAGAAACTCAAGTAAAGATAGAAAAGCAAAAGAGCTTAGTTTTGGGACCACTGTGTAATCTTAACCTAGACAGCACAGGGAGGGTAGATACTAGAAAAGAAGTCAATATTTGTTGACTAAATTTAATGAAAACCACAGGGGTCTTGTTGCAAAAAGGCCCTGATTTCCATGCTGTGAAAATTGGCGTTTAAGATACTTTTAACAACTGCATAGAAGAGAAATTGAACAGCTTACAGGCCTTGCTTTCTCCCCAGATTGATTTATCTGAGCTTATAATGAGAAGGTGTGAGAGGTTATCAATAAACGCATTTGCAATTGTGTTCTGACACTGTTGTCTATGTTAGTCAGGGAGCCTATTAGTCACAGAAAGTTTGAACAGCACTTGAGCAATTGCCAGGTAGCCCCTACTGTGTCTTAATGGAAAACTCTGGTGCTCAACTGTTCTCCAGTGACTTGAAATTCTGATATATTCATATGTGATATAAGCAAGTTTTAATCCTTAGAATGCACAATGAGTAGTTACACTGAATGTACTCATGTTACTCATGGCTGTCCATAATTTGCACTATATTTTGGCAGAGAAATTATCTCAAATGTGTGTCGTCAGTATAGTCTGCTAAAGAATTGGCTTTTTTTTTGGTAAAGTCTCTAACCTCGCAAATTTCCCCAAAATTGGACAGCCAAACCAAAGAATGATATTTAAAAAAAAAAGGAAAACTTACTGTCACTCGATTCTGGCCCAGAGCAATCCTATCAGATAAGGAAGAATTGTCCTTGTGGGTTTCCAAGATTATAACTCTTAACTGGAGTAGAGAGCCCCATCTTTCTCCCACAGAGTGGCTGGTGGTTTTGAACCACTGACCTTGAGGTTAGCATCTCAATGTATACCCCACTATGTCATTAGGCTTCCCTAAATGTGGTATAGCTGCACTGTTTACTCGGTCATTTACCCAGTTCTCTGCTGCAACAATACACTCAGGAAGGCAGAGTGGGGGATATTGGACCCCATTCTTTGCTGAGGAAACTGCATAGTAAGACTTTCCAAGAAGTAAACTAGGGAAACAGGATTAGATACAGAGTGATTTTTAAAACTATATTATGTTAATTCTCCATTCAGAATACTTGCCTCTCCATGTGAACCAGCACCTACTTCATGCCCCACTCTTCTCAATGAGCTGAGGGAGATAAAAGGAGGGTTTCATTTTTCCTGCAGTGAGCTTAGAGATGGCACAGGAGATGAGTAAGTCAGACAGAGAAAATCAAAATCATTAAAAATTATTAATGTTTTTCATTGCTGTCAAGTAGAGTACAGATAGAAAGATGATAGTTTGACCTTTTGTCCCTGGGGAGAAAAGCAAAAAAGTAATTGATCCAGGTTGAAACTGAGCACCAGCTGTGTGTCAAGTCAGCAAAAACTACATATAACCTTCATCCAGTATCTTCAAATTCTCATGAAATCATATGGCTTTTTAAAAAACCCCCTGCCCTTGAGTCGATTCTGACTCATAGTCAGGCTATGTAGAATTTTGGAGGCTATAAACCTTTACTGGAATTTATAACTTCATCTTTCTCCTATAGAACAGCTGGTAATCATATCGGTTTGTAGTCCAATGCTTATCCAGCAATGCTAACAGACTTCGTCATTGTAGAAGGCAATATGGGGCCCAGGTCTCAAAAGCTGGGTACCATTAGGATAGGCAAGGTAGAATAGGTGAATAGAATATTGGTGATCACAGGTGAATAGAGTATTGTATCTGAATTAGGGAGCATCTTGGCGATTACTGAGTTTGTCTTAGATGATACCAGGACTCCCTG